CTTGAACAAGTTCAGCAAGATCTGCAATTTGGGTTTCTTATGCGGTTTTCAGGAATGATTGTGTGAGCCACTGTGACTAGATGCGGATCGAGTCAGCGCATTGGTTGCGGGAAGGTCTGAATTAGGAAGGGATTCGGAACATTGTTTCGGTGAATTGTGAAAGGATTCCTTTCTCTTCACCTCCGATACGATTAGTTCGAAATGGTGTTAGTGGCTAACTTTGGAGAGCTGCTTGCTTCGGGCATCCAATTTATTAACGTTACTTAGTGTCATTTAGGGGTTGTCCACAAATTAATATCAATATTTTTTTAGAGAATGTGAAGAAGAAGTTGGTGCGACTTCGGCGATAATTGGACACCTTGTATTGAGCAGGGAGTGGTGCTTCCTTGCAGGTTTTCCCAGTGGAAGGTTCGATGGACTTCTCGTGTGCTCTGGATGGCAGTCGTGAGTCAGTCAAGTGAGAATTCAAGTCGGCCGGAATAGCGCAAGCCCACTCGCAGGGAGCAAAACACAATTACGGAAAATAAGAAAGGGTACACAAATCGACGTGAATACATGTAGCAGCAGAAATGTGCCAAAAATATTCATGCAAGGTTCTTTTTATTACTGAAGTGCACAGTCGAGCAGAGAGCCAAAAAGGAAGACAGAACAAAGTGGAAGAAATAACGATACAACGGGAATCCGGAGCAGCATGCTGATGCATTGGGCCTACCTCCCCCGACCATGGGCCTCGAGCGGCAGGACCAAGCACCAAACACAAAATACATTTTGAAACTCGGATGTTGAGCCATAAATAAATGTAGAAAGGAAAAGGACATATGGATACGAGTTAAGATTAGCGCTACGGAGATGTGTTGAAGCTAGGTGTCAGGACGTCGAATGTCTCAGTATTCTTGTCAGTTTTTTTGCCTAGTTATTGCACTTTCTGACTGTATATAGTATCCAGTTACAGTGATGGAGAGTTACTTTTAACTCGTATCCATATGTCCTTTTCCTTTCTACACAACACATTATATAGGTATAACAGAAAAATAGAAAATACGAAAGTATGTGTGATGTAAGGAAACAACATGAGATGGCAAATTGCCTGGTGTTGCAGATGAGGTACAGAGACTCGAGCAGAGAGAGAGAGAGAGAGAGATAGAGAGAGAGAGAACAAAGAGAGAGAGAACAAATAGAGAGAGAGCGAGAACAAAGGGAGAGAGAGAGACAGAGAGAGAGCGACAGCCAGAGAGAGAGAGAGAGAACAGAGAGAGAGAGACAGACAGAGAGAGAGAGAACAGAGAGACAGAGAGACAGAGAGAGAAGGAGAGACAGAGACAGACATACAGACAGAGAGAGAGAACAGAGAGAGAGAGAAAGACAGACAGAGAGAGAGAGAGAGAACAAAGAGACAGAGAGACAGAGAGAGAAGGAGAGAGAGATACAGACATACAGACAGAGAGAGAGAGAAAGACAGACACACAGAGAGAGAGAGAACAAAGAGACAGAGAGACAGAGAGAAGGAGAGAGAGAGACAGACAGAGGGACAGAGAGAGACAGACAGTTGCTGTATAAAATTTTATCAACCTAAAGAGAAGTCCAGCACAAGGACCAACTGACATCGAATCCCATCTAAACGGGAATATTTATTACATAAAGAACCAAAACGTAAATAGCGTACCTTCTTGGACATGCAAGGCGATATGTGGCTCATGTGCTTCATTGAGATGAAAACAACAGTTGAAGTGACTTGCCCTCTGAACTGTGAAAATGATTTTCAGCCGATGTGATGATAGCACGGAAAAATGGAGCCAATGACGGATTGTAGAAGGAGAACGATAAGTATGCTCTACTGACCTTGCCTCTGACAAACTATTCTGGTAAGAAACGGAGAGGTGGCAATTTCCGCTTATCACAAATTCCACCCCTATTGCTTTAATAGTGCAGTTCGTTGGAAAATCGAAGTGCGTTCTATAAGCATGACGGAAAGGGAGCCTGTAGAATATTGGAAGTGCATCTGATGTATTCAATGGATACCATAGGAATGTTTCCAATCCAGCGTTCAGACCATCATAACTATATCTTTGATGACCAACTGGAATGCACCTTGGCTGTAAACACCATACTTGAGTTGTCATAGTAACGATCGTCATCACCAGGACCGTCCAGCTGTACTTCGTCTGGAGACTAACTAAAACGCAGCAGAAACAAGGAAAACACGGGAGCGAAGTACAAGTATTTATTCACTTCACAAATGTGTATACTTTCAACACAGCGATCGACATATCTTTCAATCTCTCTTGTATACTACAGCGATCGACATATCTTTCAATCTCTTTTGTATACTATCAATAAATAATCTGCGAGGAGACATCAATAAGACTTAGTGGTGCTCGTATTTGTTATCTATTTTGGGAAAAAGACAGGCACATATGGATAGGAGTTACTTTTTTGAAGTAAAATTAGCTGTCCACCACTATATTTAGATACAGTCAGAAAGTGCAACAGCTAGGCACTAAACCTGACAGTGTACTGACTCCTGACACATATTAAACAATAATGTTATTGACTCGACATCCGAGTTTCAAATCCATTCTTCATTCATTCCATAGAACAGGACAACATAAACGGGACTCAAACCTAGAATAGTAGAAATGCATATTGGTGCTTGCATACTTGGTCACCGCCCATGAGAAGACTTTCTGAGATATAGAGGATTGATAAATTGTCCAGTGTAACAAGGGGGGGGGGGGAATCAAATTTTCGAAAATGAAAGTTTACGGCAGATGGCTTCGCCTTAAATACAGCTGTGAAATTTACTAACCATCTTTCGTTGAAGAATGAGCCATCATCACGCAGTGATGTAAATAACGAGACAGTATCTAGAACACGATGAAGTTTCTTTCCACGTGAAACCAAAATCTGGCAGCATTCGGCATGAGGGTCTTCGGCAGTCTATCCAGGATGTGATCAACACGATCTTAGACTGAACTGTCCCTCGAACGAAGGCAACTTGAAGATTATCTGCACGAAAAACATACTTAGTAAGTAAGCACTTTGCAGGCCACCAGCATGACTCATAGATTCACACGTACCTGCAGGGGTGTTGCACTACATGTACTGCACATACTGCAGATCCATTTTGCCACACCAGCAATCTTATGCACGCACAAGTATAAACAATGGAGAATGGTTCTGCACACGACAGCTGTAGAGTCATGGCTGTAACTCCTAACCAGCTGTTCTCTTACAAAATGTGTACAACATCGACTGTCACACTTCCTACAAAAAGCGAAATGGGTATGTTCGACACGTTATTGGAAGCTATCAATGATGACCTCGCCCAATGTGCCTTCTGGTTTGCCAAAGACTTGCAGTACACGTCTGTCTAGTTGTTTGGAACACGAGCGAGTCATGATGTCTAATGAAAGGTCCTGAACAGATGGCAATATGTTGAGGTCAGGCACCGCGTTTTTCCGCAGCTCAGTGACGGTGGATTTTACACGTATCCATCCCTACAGGATCAATGGCTCTCTGTTTCACTCTATTGTGTATCAATATGATTACATTTTAGGTGCAGCATGTACGATTGCTGTCCAAATGGCTACTGATGGCTATACAGGTCCTTGGGCATCAGTGGGACTGCAGCCGCTTGGCCCTGATGTGAATCGTGTGGTTTACCATCTGTGCACCATGCTTGGTTAGCGTCTCTAACAATACAGAATAGCTCATTTAAGTACGTTTATTACCCACACGCACTGATAGCAAGTGGAAGTTGTGGTTTCCGAGCTGCTGCGGCTGGATCATATCAAGTGTTTTGTAACAGGATTTGTAATCTGCCAACTTTTGCAACAATGCATTTATACCAGGCGGCCCCGCAAAGCGGGATTGTAGAAAATTCTGTTACAATATTGGTAGATGGCAGGCAGTGCAAGGGATTAAAGTTAAGGCCAATGATCCTAACTAATGCTGCTGTACCCTTGTAGGGCTTGGCTGTGCGCAGGTAGTCAAATGACTGCCAGGACCGGACGGTCCTGCTGTATGCTGGGGCCAATTGGCTTGGCTGCTGGACACAATGTGTCTATGCTGGGACCAGCTGGTCCTGCTGCTGGGCAGCCCGTGCCACCAGTGCTTGAAAGCTCATGCAGGGAAGTTTTCGAAACTTCATTCAGCTGAGGGGCTTTGCTTACTTTCTCCCTGTCTGGAGGCGCTAGAACTTAGAAGTGGGTTGTGATCGGCGGGAGAAAATTCGCACAACACTGCTGATATGGCAAACCAAGGTGCTCAAACAAATTTGTTTGCATAGAAAGGTCTCGCTGCTGTTCGTTGCCAGCAAGGCTGCGAGTCCTATGCTTGCGCAAATGCCATTTTCCCGCGCTTGGGGACGATGACAGCTAGCGTTGCGGACTGCCTGTGAGGCGCTGGCCGCTAGTGCTTCTGTGCCATGATAACTTGTCCATGTCCACAGATTGAGTTTACAATCATGTAAAACAATGTACATGTACGAGTACATGTATATTTTTTTGAGGCACCAGAGATAGTGCGTGGATGTTACCACTTCTACTCAACAAACTCATACTTCGAGTAGCTATGACCATTCTGCTGCCTGTTCTGCCACCACGCCCTACCTAAACACAAGCATAGTAATGTACATTGTATACATGAAGTACACGCCAAACCCTTTCGACACGTCATTTGAATAGGTGAGTGTTTACACATGCCTCATCTCAAGTAACGTTCACTGCACAAGTCATGGTCATTCTCAGCTACCGTGACCTCTGAGGCCATCGTCAGAGTTAAAGATGGCAAGATTCGAATAAAATTGATATGCAATAGGTTTGGGCCAAAAGAAATCGGTGCAAAGAATGCAATATTGTGTGTAGGTATATTCAAGTTACATGCAAGTCGACAAAAAGCCAGCATACGTGTGTGTGTAAAAGGGGAAGGTTGGCATTCTTTCATCGACCACTGAAATGTCTGTTGAGAAGAAGGAGCACAGTTGTGTAACCTAAGGGGGGGGGGGGGGGGGGGGGCGTGTATGGCAAATGACCCAGTACGGATGGATAGAGTGAATAATAAGGTTGTGCTTGCTTTGTGGGTAGTGCTTCACAAATCCATAGGAACGAGGTATTCCGATGGTAAACGGTTCCGTAGCGATGTGATGTTGTGATCGCTTAGGGAGTTGCTGTGATCCTCTTCTGGCAGGGCCGGTGGAAGGGCAGTGGTGGCTGGAGTGATTTCTCCCGATGTATCTTGCAACGATTTCCCCAGCGCTGGAAACTTCAGGTTCGAATAGGGCGCTTCTGCGAAGCGAGTATCGCTTTGGTTCATTGTGCTAATAGCAGCAGACTCACCTTTAGTGTTGAGTGTATCAAAAGCAGAGTCCGACTCATGGACCATACCTGGGATTGGACCAAACCTACTGGCCACTACCGCACTAGGATTTGAGGGACTGGTATCAACTTCTAACTCAGCATAGTCGTTCACCATGTCCTCAATGCCAGCGTCTGTGGGGGGAGTCGTGATATACTCGTACGCATGCATACTGGGCTGTGTAGACGTGATTTTCGTCTCCACTGTGCGGTCTTCTCCGGGTTGTGGTGTTTCTATTGGCGCTGCTGGTCCACACACTGCATACACGCGAATGACGCCGTCATCATGCGCCTGCTCGTATCGCAGGGCGCTATCCGCTAATAAGTCACGTGACAGTACTTTACCGGGGTCTACACCTGTTGCGTGATGGTGGTCTCGTGCGGGCGTCTCCGACCTGCAATGGTTGGTGCTCAATTCCGTGCTGCCATCGATATGGATCAGTGTCCTTTCAGGAGACTGCCTTCGCTTGCGGTGCACTAGACATACAACCACAAGCAGTAGGATTATGACCACTCCAGAGAGGGTAAGAATGATGTTCAAATTGGAATTACCTGAAACAATGGCTGGTCTAGATGCCGTTGTCGATACGGACGTGGAAACTACAGGATATGGGCGAGACGATGATGTCTTCGGTGTTGCTACTGTAGATATTGGGCTGAGTATGGAGTCAGAAGACTGAAGTGGAGTAGCAGTAGTGGCAGTGCTCGTGGCTGCTATTGCACGTGTTCGGTCGGGTAGGAAGGTAGAAGATTGAGTTGGAGTAGCAGTAGTGGTAGGACTCGTGGCTATATCAGCTATCTGACGGGTTTGTTCAGATTGAATGTTCTGTAGTGTCGGATTTGCGGTAGATGTACGCACAGTTGTTACCATGGTAGGTAGGGGTTGCACCGTGCTGCCATCCTCAGTTGGGATGTGTTCATCAGTAGTCGAGGCTGAGAGACAGGAACAGAAGTTATGATCAACTGGTCAGTATCATTACATACATGCATGAATGTCTCGGTAGTGTCCTCAACAGCGATTATACTCTATACATGTATCACCAGTACTAGTACATGACTCACGGTATATTATACAGTCAGGTATTATGTACAGTATGTGTCCTGAGACCCAGTATCATATACAATACATGTACAGATGTACTGGTAAATGAAATCCGATCACTTGAGTCCAAGACAATGCACAAACTAGTACTGGCACTAGTATACCCATTACGGTGGACACCGGATATACAATGTACATGTACATGTTTATACCGTCATGCGAGAGATAGGCAATTCTTGTCTGCTAGGTGCCTCTTAATATCAAAACGCTCATTCAAGTACTGTGTTCATAAGCAAATGCATTCCATCATACAGTGGTGGGCCTTTCAGTTTCCTAGGCACATCTAGCCGGTACAAGGTAGATCGTAACAAGAATCTCTTATTGTAATTCCCGTTGAGTCAGTTGGGTTAAGTAGATTGGCGAGCATAGACACGCACCTGTATAGTGTACCGATATGTAAGGTTCTTCCCAGAGAAGCTGAATTCCACAATTTCCTCCAAACATCGATTTGCTCACTGTGAACTTCAAGCGCAGCCGATGATGAGCAATGACGGTCAATCTCAGTTCATTGGTGATTGGGGGGAACCATTCGTGATGCCACTTTCACTCACTAAAGGCACAGGCGAGACATCTGACCATGTGACGCCATTTTCTGATTCCTGCTTGGAAACCTGGACGGAGCAATCTGAGTCTCTTTCGGTCCGGTATAAAATTTGAGTGATGTTGATGAAGCAGCCACCTGGAAAATTAAATATGGCTGCATAGGATTCGCCGTCCTTGAGGAAAGTACCAGTATCGTCGGTTAGAGCATTGGGCCCTGTGCGTGTGATGTAGGCATTTGGTCTAGTTGCTGTCACATTTTCTGTGTCTCGACCCAAAGGCTGGCATGGAAACGACGGGTCTGTTGGTTCTGATCTTGTACACTTGATGTATAGCACGACAGCATTGAGTAAGAGGAACCATCCCGATCCACATGACCGAAACTCTGCAGGATAGGTCAAAACACAAACGAATACCTCGTATTGATTGTCCGCTCAAAGCCCTACACAATTGACTCCGTATTGGTACTTACCCCGCATAGTCTTCTCTGATCGTTGTACGCTCTGCTGAAGTGTTGGTTACTTGAAACGCAGTGGCTACCACACAGCACAGAGTGATGATTACTGTTGATGAGAAAAGAGCCTGACAGATTTTAAATGAATGTATTGCTGTCCGGAGATTGAATATAAATATTGGAAAGTTCCTCGTGTAGTAATTCTCTCTGCGTCGAGACAAGGACTTTGCAGAAGGCGATTCGAGCTATGCCTCATCAAGACCATCTCTGGTCTTCAGCATCGGGTGGCAGCTTTAGCACTAGACTAGAGTGGGGTGAATAGAACCGAGCACATGCCACTCCGGTAGTGTGTGTATAGCGGTGAATGGCGATAAATCCTGTTTTCCGTGCAGGAGGATACTGGACGGCAGGTACTACACGTAGGTGTACGAAGTAAGTTCAACAAGGACGCGACACGACTTGGTGTCATTCACAGACTGCGACAAACACAACACTGCGAACCGGAGACGTGGTGACTCTGAGACCCTTCATGTAACTACATGTACATGTATGTACATGTTTAAAATTCATGTACATGTACGCTATGACCATTCCAAAGTTATGCATGCCATCCCTTTAAACAAAGTGTGTGACCATCCCTTTAAAATTAAATATGCTAGTTTGTAAACCTAATACTCTGCAATCATATCGTGCAATAACGTTTCGCGAAAGGGACAATATTGACACTAACACTCTCCTGCTTTTCAGCACAGCGTTCAGTACAGACGACAGTCGGTTTTGCGCATCCAGTGTGCAAGATTGACTCGCTGTTAGACTGTGGTCACGGCTGGCCGCTAGGAGAAAATGGTACATGTATTAGCAGTTTGTTTTGCAATAAGCTTGGAGAAGTGGTGCTCCTCGCCTGAGTCGCCTGCCATCGTCACCGGTGCCTCCTCAAATACCCACTAAGAATTCTTAGATACATGTAGGTTTCCAGGGGTGGAAAGCATCTTCCCGCAAACTGGGACTAGAGCTGTTGAAATCATGTTTGGATTACCAATGCTCCCACAGTCCCACTGCTTTGCCAAGAATACAGTCATGATTTGATTTGCAACTACAGTCTGTATATACATGTATATACGTGTACTACTAGTAACTAACTTAGAAGTTGCGACTTCGGCGGTAATAGTCATGAAGTTGATTGTTCCAACTAGGAATACACGCTTCTTGCCGAACTTGACACTTGACTGACTCACGACTGCCATCCGGAGCACACCAGGAGCACGTCGCACCTTCCACTCGGCAAACCTGCAAGAAAGCACCACTCCCTGCTCAATACACGGTGTTTCGGGGAATTCACCCCTCATCAGTTGAGCTTGAGTAGGCTGAGGAAGATTGTGCCTGAAAAGCACCACTTATAGAAACACCGTGTATTAAGCAGGGAGTGGGGCTTTCTTGCAGGTTTGCCGAGTGGAAGGTGCGACGTGCTCCTCGTGTGCTCAGGATGGCAGTCGTGAGTCAGTCAAGTGTCAAGTTCGGCAAGAAGCGTGTGTTCCTAGTTGGAACAGTCAACTTCATGACTATTACCGCCGAAGTCGCAACTTCTAAGTTCGTATTGTTGTCCCTCACGCGGACGTGCGACTAGTTGTTGGAGGTGACAGCGTTGCGAATAGCTATACTGGCTCTCAACGTCTGTTTATCACAACTCCATGAGCGACTCTGACTCACGCTGCTACCTGGAGCTTCACGAGGTGTTTGTCGCGCTGGAAACAAAGCGTCTCTGTAAGTTTGTATCCCGGTGATGGTTTGGTGGCCTGGAGAGCAGTATATAAGTGGTGCTTTTCAGGCACAATCTTCCTCAGCCTACTCAAGCTCAACTGATGAGGGGTGAATTCCCCGAAACACCGTGTATTGAGCAGGGAGTGGTGCTTTCTTGCAGGTTTGCCGAGTGGAAGGTGCGACGTGCTCCTCGTGTGCTCCGGATGGCAGTCGTGAGTCAGTCAAGTGTCAAGTTCGGCAAGAAGCGTGTGTTCCTAGTTGGAACAATCAACTTCACTACTAGCAACTGTCTTGTATATGATGGAAACTGACGTTAATTGTAACGAGAAATTACGAAACATCCATTCAGTACCAGCAGTTACTACATAAAATTATACAGTTGTCTCTCCCTCTTCAACACGACATTTTGAAAATGATTACGCGCAGTCATTGTTTATAGTCCGTGAAATGACCGAATTTAGAGATAATGATGGAATGGTAGTCACTCTGCCTCACAGTCAGCATGATGGGGCGAAATCCTGCGCGCTCACAAACACATGGATAACCTAGTCTTGCATGTCTGCATACCAAAGTGCGGTGTTATCACACCAGGAATAGGCAGTAGCGTAACTACCACCATATTACTATAGTACATTTGTGTGACCCTGGCCAGAGCACGTACAGTCAACTGTTAGAACAAGCCTTCATCGAACAGCACAATCATACTCACGTCTCCACCAAGCAGACTTATGGCTATGTATGGGAAAATGGCAATCACCAGATGAAGGAGTGGGGAGAAGTGAAACCATACACACACACCAGTCCTGTGTTATGCACACCACACAATGCCGTAGATAGTGAGACAGGTTAGGCTGTACTCACACTACTTGAAAGTTTGACGCGAATGTCGCGTTCAAAACTAGACAAAAGTACTTGAAAAAGCCTTTCCAAGCACACTGCACTCCAGTGACGACTTGAAACATTTTTGTCAGCAAATTACCATGGAGAAACATGATTGTCGTGTGGTAGTTTTGCAAATCCCGAGGCTGCGTTCCTTCAATTTTTTGGCGCTCGATGAACTTATTTGAAATTTTCAGTTCATGAGAAAAATAGAAACAGTTATATCTTGCTTGGATCGTGGAGGTCATTCGACATGCCTCGCGAAGAAGTAGCACATCGTCGACGTCGACGGATGAAGAGGTTTCTCTCCACAGCTCGATGAGCTTCTTCTCCAAGTCGTCAGAAAACACTACGAGAGGCATGATGTCGGTACAAAAGCAATGGTACAAAAGAAATGCGACAGAAACGGCAATCAAAACAACGGGAAGCTACTGGAAGAAAGAAGACGGAAAATACTCGGAAAAAAACACCACAGAATTCAGAAATGACAGGCAAAAAAGGAAACTACAAGTATATGTACAGGAGCAGTACGACCACGAGGAAACAAAGCATGAAAAATATTCTGGAGCCTTTCAACGTACAATAGTACTCCGGCCTCCTGACCTCACACAGCTTTCCAAACGCCTTGAAAGCAAAAAACCTCGTAGAAGAGGGTTCCGTTTCCGCTGAAACCTTTCAAGCGGCTTTCAAGGGCTTTTTTCATTTTCGCAACCGTCACCGTGGCAACATTCACACGTAAGTCACTTGTATGCGGTTTTTCAAGTAGTGTGAGTACAGCCTAACTGTTTCAGCTCATGAGGTTTCATGTATTTGTACCGTTACGTGTTCATCATGTTTTAACGTTAGTTTGTAGACATAACCAAAGGTACACGACTGAACTCTTGATCTTGCACGTGACTCAGTTCTTGACTCGGTGTCTGAGAAAGTTAGCACTGTCTAAGGCGAGAACCGTACATGTTTGGTCTTTGTTTGCGTGTGAATGGAGGGGGGGGGGGGGGGGGGGGGAGAGCTGAGAGTGTCATCATGTGTCTACTAATATTCTGGAGGTATTCTGGAGACATACATGTACATGTGGGCACATGTACACTTACTTTGTACCTGAATGACTGTACATTGTACAATAATGATCATTCTGTGTACATCTACATTGTATTTGATTGTGTCTGGCGGCTGACCTACTGAACGAGGGCATGACCTTAAGAGGAAGCGAGGAGTTAATGACCAGACGACTCTCCTCTTTCCTCCCCTTGCCTGGTGAAAATGTATACTTGCACCGAACAACGTAGGCGAAATGTTGTGTAGCTTTTGTGAAGCATTTCAGTGATCATCACACAATTACATGTGCATGATTGTATAATCATTGAATCTCAAGATAAGGCGGTTAACTGTGCCGGAGGACCACTAAAACCAGTACAGTAGATATCTTTCCCAATACCCAGAATAGCGCTAACCTACTGTATGGGAGTAGTGTAGCACATTTTCAGCCTACCTCCTTTCATGAAAACTGAACAGCCATCTTGGATAGGATTCGCTGTATATGTACATGACATTGTACGTGAACTACGTCATTATCTTAACCTAGCAATCATCAAGGCTTGGGATTCCCTCGACAGGCATCAATCAATGTTGGTGTTTGCCTTTTTAGAACCAATCATGAATCACATTTAAAAAAATTAATGAAATGAAGGTCAGTTTAAACCTACAGTACAACAAGTAACGTTATACCAAGTAAGAGATACAAAATCAAAGTAGTAGCAGTGGTGAGGAACGTGAAAGTACTAATACCAAAATATGTAAGGGATGAAGTGGAAAAGTATGGGAAGCAATCCTGGCACAGTAAGATAAAACGCTCGCAAATCACTGTTATGCAATTTAAGACTAATTACATCATACATATTATTATGTGGCCGCTGGTATTTGCTTCGTACTCGTGCCCATGTAGAATTTGAAACAGAATTTTATCATAGCACAAGGTCACTGAGGTTACTTGTACAACGTGGAAATGTGAAAACACGAAAACACTCAAGTCATGCAGCAAACAACATGCAGACATGTATTGTGTACATGTATTGTGTGCAGTATACATGCAATTTTCAAATTTGGACTTCACGGAGAATTTCAAAATGTTAGGAAATTTGAGTATACATGTATGTACGGATATGTGTTTGTCTGTTTAGGGTGTTGGTACCCCGTTGTGAACCTTTGCTTCGGATGAGGCTGCAGTATTGGACATTAGCAATCAGAAGGCTCAAGATAGTCTGATGGCGTCGTTACTCTCCGTGAAGATGGATGGTTACTGACAGGCTGGGAATGTGGCACAGAGTAGGTGTCGTTTGGCAGTGAAGGTGGTGCTGGACCTGGAGTACCATGTACACGAGGGCACGTAGCCGATAGTACACGAGAAGAACTCTCTATGTAAGTATATTGGCTTTGAAGGTTTGAGGAATTCACCACGCTGCGTTGGATTACAGGCTGAGTATATCGTTCCGCATCCGGATTTTCACCCACGCGGCTTGTCGCTGCACCAAAAATCGATGCGTCTGTAGTATCCGGCGGAATACGGTGCCCGGAGCGTACTATTAGTATGTTGGAAGGGGCTGTAGCTTCACTATACATTTGCTCTCCACGATGCCCGTCTCTTTCAGGAACTGTAGCATACTCGCGTGGTACACCAACCACAGCCACAGTATATTCATTAGTGACTGGATTGGAAGGCTGATGGGATAACTGCATCTCCTCACGGTCAGCACGAAACCTAGCACTCACCGCCACCTGTCCTTCCGATGTTGTTGCTGGGCGTGCGGTGATTTCATTTCTGTGGAAGAATTTGGCTATCTGTCGTCGTTTCCAGAGGCCCACCGCAAGCAGCAGAGTCATGAGCATAAGGCCAATGACTAATAACGACACTAGTATAGTGACAGAGCTGCTGGATGTGTTTGAGCCTGGCATCATTGTATCCGACTGTGTTGTAGCTGGTATGGCGATAGGCGATGTGACATTGTGTGGCGCGCTAGAAGTTCTAAGATGTGTGGTGCGATGACTGGCGTATTCTGTGGGTGGTAATGACGGGTATGATGGGAATTTCTCACGGGTCTCAGAGCTGGTGGTAGCAGGTGCAGTACCTGTGTGTTGAAGTGAAGTTGTAGGAGATTGTGTTGGACTGGAAGCTGGATTACGGAGAAAATCGGACGCAAGAATACATTAAATGAATGTCGCTGTGTTGAGCATATTTCCCGCATGAAAGAAAGAGCAATTCTCAAAGTGTTCATGCATAGATGGCTTGTTCACTGACCATCTATGATTGACCAATCTAACTTTCGTCCGCAATCCCCATCTCGATGCGCCTTGCAGACAGAGGCAATTGTATGACCCGTTTTGGTGTTCACAGGAACTCCACACAAACCCTTTTGTAACAATTGGCCATGCAGATCGATTGCATATCTTGTCTTTTCCCAAGACGCATTTATTCTTGGGAAAGGTTGGTGGAGCATAATAATTAAGACGTATTGATCTTCAAGGCAAGATACGAAGAGCAATCAGCTACGATGCATGATAATTGATACCAGATTGAATGCTGCACTCTGATGATCACTAAAAGGCGTGAAACTTAAAATTACAGCTACACAGCCTTTTGCCTCTTTTGGGTGTGATAGCAGATTATGTCGCAAGAATATTCACAATCAATTACTGCGCTGGGAAGTAGTATGTTGTCCTGTCAACATACTTCAACCTACATACACATTGTATTTCGAGAGCATGTCCGTTAGCGATCACATTGTTTTACTGTTTCCCCTGGTGAACACTAAATCTGGCTAAAGGGACACTCAACGTCGCCAATGGCATTTACCTTCGGCCAAATACATATCGATCCAGATAATTCAGATACTCTCCGGATGAGTCTCAATAAGTATATATTATAATGTTAGCATGTACTTCACTATTCACATACCCAATTCGAGAGTAGAAGTGAAAGATAATGATACTGAGACTAGGACTGATGAGAGAGAGAGAGAGAAAGCGAGAGAGAGAGAGAGAGAGAGAGAGAGAGAGAGAGAGCAACTACTGAACAGGGGCCGCTTCACCGCGATGCACTAATGATGGGGTGGGATGTGTGCGTATGGGTGGGGGGGGGGGGGGGTGTTGGTGGCTACAATTACATGTAGTACACCTTGTGCACAGGCCCTTTAATCAACAGAAAACTTACAAAAATCCATTGACTAGACAACATGGCGGACTTGCAATCGATACGAGATAGGCCTAGGTCTAAAGTACATGTAAATTGATTAGAAAATAAAGTGATTCAACGAAGTATACATATCACATGACTCACCTACACATATCCGGCCATTGAGAGTATCTCGGATAGTGAATCCCTCGAAACAATTGCACACGTAGGACCCCGGAATGTTCACACATTTCCCTGGACCTTGCGCAGAGTACGCAGAACAGTGGTGAGGTGTAAGAGAGCATTCATCAATATCTCGGCATTGAAGTAGGGTTTCATTCGTGACACCCTCAACGTCATAGCCTTGCCGACAAACACAGTCATAGGTTCCTGGTGTGTTTATGCAGTTCGGTGCATTATCCCTGCGAAAATGTGTATAGCAATGGTTATCCGACTGTGCACATTCATCAATATCGTTGCAGGTATAGGTATTTCCATCTTGAGTGCGTTTATATCCATGTTGACAATTACACCTGTAAGATCCCCACGTGTTGTGACAATGCGGACCGGAATCAGGGATAGGATAATATCTATAGCAGGGGTTATGCAACGCTGAACATTCATCGTAATCTGAAGGGAATATTTGAAACATGCACAGCAGTCACTGATTACAATGTTCAGAATAGCTGATCATGCACGAGACACGGAACGCAACACGTCCGATTCATTCCAAGTTGCCGTACAAGTATAATCATTTGTGGCAATACCATAGGTAATCACCAGACACCTGATCTAATCGTTATCCGTCTTATTATTCGAGCGGGTACCTTCCCAATGTCTGCAAATTGACCTATGAATTTATGAGAATGGGACTGTGTTTTATGGGAAACCCCGAGAATGGAAAGGAAAGGATTCTGGGCAGAAAAAGCTGGTGCTTGGCTGGGACCACCAAGAGCAACATTTGCCAAAGTTACTAGCAGTATATGGAGGCCATTAAATTGTTTTGATAATAAAGTACTCCAAGCGAATCTCCAATGATGAGCCTTAAAATGTCTTCATTTTTAAACATTTCCGGACATTACCGTAGTTCGAAATGGCCGTCCTGATTCATGCAATTGAAAAAAGGCCCTCTCATCGAAATTAATTCATTTAGCAGCAGGAACATACATGTCATGTACCATAATGACTCAATGAAATTGCTGTACACTGTACTGAACATCTTTCAAGGTGTTCAATAAAACACAATCTAGAAAAGCAACGACTATTTGTGCCATTTGATGACATTAGACTGTATTTGCAGCCAACTAATTGTGGTATACTGCGCCTGCCTAAATGGGGAGATTTCCTACCTAACGAAGGAGAAAAAATGACATACCTTCTTGGACGTGCAAGGCGATGACCGGTTCATATGCTTCATTGAGTTGAAACACACACTGGCTGAGAGGACGTGTTATCGCACTATGGACTGTGAATTTGATTTGTAACCCATGTGATGATTGCACGGTGAAATTGAGATTGTGACGGAATCCATGTTTACTCCTATGGCTGAACCTAACTGACCTTTCATTTGACCAACCACTGTGGTCAAACGACTGAGACGAAACTGAGACGCGACAATTTCCGTGTGCCTTGAATGATATGGCTATTGCTTCAATAGTGCAGCTCCCTTGAAACTCGAAGGTTGTGCTATAAACACGATTGTAGACGAGGTAGCGATATGATAGTGTACCAGATATATGCGAGTTGTACCACTTGAATGTGTTAAGTCCACCGCTCGTGCCTTCGTAACGATATAGCCGATGAGCTTCTGGAATGCATCTTGGCGTCAAACACCAAATCTCAGTTGTGATAGCAACCAGTGTCGTCACTAGAACGATCAAACTGTATTTGGTCTGGAAACAGACTGTAATGCAGAGGATAGCAATGACAACACAAAGCAAAGTATTAATCTACCGCTAGCTATAATTATACTTATGTACATTGCTAGTTGTATAACGTATTGCAATCAACAAGTAATGGTCGTAAACGTTACCTAGGCAGAACTCCGAAGATAGAAATACATGTTTATTGCATTAATACTGGGTTTACCGCTGCCCATGGAGTGACTTTTAAGAAAGTGAGTTGTGTAGACCTGTCAAGTATAACAATGATCGGCTGGAGGAAAACAAAATGAATTGTTTGGGCCGGATATACTCGCTGTCAATGTAGCAGTGGCACCCTCTACCATCATTACCTGAAAGGTGCACCATTATCACACAATTGTGTAAGTATCAGGACAGAGACGACGTTCCAACCAAGGTCAAGCCAACAAGTGGCAGAATTGGGTACGAGTTGCTGAGGCAATCCTTCCTCGACGTGATCCACACAATCATAGACTGACCTTTTCCGAGACCGAAGCCAACCTGAAGAATATCTTCATAAAAATAGCACTGATCAGTATGGAGCCTCTCCACTGAGTAGCTTTCCAATGTCAATTTGTGTACGAAATGATTTGAGTCGGTCACAAAGATGCACTTTGCCGGCGACATGTTAGAAAAGCAACGGTCTGACATCCATGTTGCCACCGGCTATGGAATGGTGTTAGAAACGCAATCAGCTTAAGATTATTAGCACTTTGCAGGTCACCAGCATGCCTGATGCATATACCTCTGTGGATGTGACCAATGATACACTACTGCAGATCCAATGCGCCACACTAGCACTGATATGCAAGTAACGAAAAGGTACAATGGTTCTACACACGAGAGCTGTGGCGTCATGGCTGTAACTCATACGAATACCAGCTGTTCTCTTACAAAATGTGTACAACATTGGCTGGCACACATCCCATGAATCAAGGAGATGGATATGTTCAACGTGTCACTGGAAACCGATATCAATGATGACCTCTCCCAATGTGCCTTCTGGCGTGCCAAAGACTTGCACTACACGTCTGTCTAGTTGTTTGGCACAACAGCGAGTCATGGTGTCTAATGAAAGGCCAGGAAACAGACGGCAATATGTTGAGGTCAGACACCGGATTTTGCATGTTTGTGTGATTACCATAAATGGACTGTTCAGGTTAATTAGTTGCATGCAGTATGGTGTCTTAGGCTTGGTAGTGCTTAGGAACACCGAGTCACGGCTAGACGGGTAGTGGAAGCAATCTAAAAACAAACCTGAGACCTAGTCCAAAAGACTGTTAAAACGTGTGAGAGAGAGATGCACGGATGGCTGTGTGAGATGCACGGATGGCTGTGTGAGATGCACGGATGGCTGTGTGAGATGCACGGATGGCTGTGTGAGATGCACGGATGGCTGTGTGAGATGCACGGATGGCTGTGTGAGATGCACGGATGGCTGTGTGAGATGCACGGATGGCTGTGTGAGATGCACGGATGGCTGTGTGAGATGCACGGATGGCTGTGTGAGATGCACGGATGGCTGTGTGAGATGCACGGATGGCTGTGTGAGATGCACGGATGGCTGTGTGAGATGCACGGATGGCTGTGTGAGATGCACGGATGGCTGTGTGCAGGTTTAGCGTGTTTACAGTGTATTTGGCACGTAACGATCTTGGTTAAGATTTGAAGTGCATTTATAAGGAGTTTTTGCAAAGAGAATGTCATAGTTCCCGCTAGGATTGAGCAAAGCGAAGCACGCGTCCCACAGGATGAGAATCGGACAGACCATAATACAAATCAAGTCTGATAGCTAGTGTGCTTCAGTTCACCAAAAGCGGTTACAAATGTAAGCTGAGCTGATTGCTCTCGGATTGCTTTTCCGCAGCTCAGTGACGGCGGATTTTACACGTATCCATACATACAGGATCAATGGCTCCGTGTTTCACTCTAATGTGTATCAGTATGATTATATTTTAGGTGCAGCATGTACGATTGCTGTCCAAATGGCTACTGATGGCTATATAGTTCCTTGAGCTTCAGTCAGACTGCATCCGCTTGGCCCTGATGTGAATCGTGTGGTTTACCATATGTGCACCATGCTTGGTTAGCGTCTCTAACAATACAGTATAGCTCATTGAAGTATGTACTAAGGCCGACTCCTGCTTAGAACGCATATTGTTCGATGTACTGGTGTCATGATCCAAACCAAAGTATTTTGAGATAAAGTGTAACTCAGATACTACGTACTATGTACACTTTCTTGCTGCCCATGGGGAATTCTTGCAAATTTGACAACTTTGGTGATACAGCTAGGCTTAGATTCCCATAACACGAGCTAAGGCTTCCACGTGAGAATTAGAAGCTGACTTGGTCCAGCTTGCAAACAAGTATCAGCAAATTGAATATCTCAACCGCCTGTTTGTACTGGCTGCCCATGAACCATTGCGCAGCTGCTCTCTTGCTCTTCCATGGTCATTTGAGACTGTACATGCAAGTTCTAAATGAAATCATAAGTTGATGATGCAAATTAGGAATGGCGTGCAGTTGAATTCTGAGGATATACAAAAAGTACTTATACAAAGCTAACACTTGTATGGTGACTCATTACGCTCAGTTCGAGCTCAAGGCAGTAGCTGAGATCAAAGATAAAGACAACACGTCATGTGGAATATGGCTGTGAAGATCACGAGTTTCAAAGTCCCGAAAAACTCTACACATGTACTTGGTAGTGGTTGTTGTAAGTGTCTGGAAGGGTAACGCACTGTACGTCTCACAGATCTACACAGGAAAATGTATCCGTTCATAGAGCTTTTCAATTTCAAAGCACTCCGAATCGCATAATATTATAAACAAGAAAATATTGCACCAGTTGTAGAAGCAGTGCTCAATGCTCTAGGCACAAAACTCTCTCACACACATACACTAACACATGTACTCGCACACTCTCACACATACACATGGATAAAAAACAGGAAAGGGAAGTATGTTTCCAACTCCTACGGAGGTTTATCATCCGTTGCACTCCATTCAGTTGCTGTCCTTTTGGTTCGGTCTTGCTCCATTCCCTTGTTTGTTTCCACCTATGCGAGTTTGGTGTCAGAATATTGCGTGAAAGTTATAGTATACTTAATTAAAGGAAAGCAATTATTCGTGAATATACAAATAACCTACGTGGAGATAATAATTTTAATATAGCTATGAATAGGATGAAGGCCGTAGACAACAAGTTACGTAGTTGCGTGATGTCTGCGGCCTTCATCCTATTCATAGCTATATTAAAATTATTCGTGAGAAAAGAATATTGAAAGGCTGGAAGTTGTGCTAAAATGTTGGCTATCACTTCGTTGCAAAGATAGGGTAACAGTCAGTCGGAGGGAGAAAGATAATCTGATGGATTCCCTGGTACTTTTTCTTTCGCCTGAGAATTAATGCTACCTTTTGCTCTGAACATGTCCCGCGATAGGATTCATTTGGCAGTGGAGGTGGCATGCCAGCCAGAGTGTCATTGACGGGAAGTCTATCCATTCCAACCAGCTAGTTAGTTTGGGGATCTTTCCTAGTCGCCATGGCTCTCTGATTTTAAGCCGAGGTGTTAGCAACATACGTTGGATCAGACGTGGATCTAGAGCTGCATGGTGTGGTCCAGCTGTTGGGAATAGAAGTGCGAGCCGTGGCTAAAGCGTAGCCAAAACCGTCTGTGCTCCCCATGAAGCTGCTTGACACAGCGCCCGCACATCTCCCCGTGTGATCAACACATTCATTGCCTGGAGCAGTGGCAATAGCATATGGATATTCCACACTCTGATCCATATGGTCTGGAACACTAGTATATTCGTTTGGCGATTCTTTGTTTATGTTGTCGTTTTCCATTCGATTCGAAAACTGGGAGTGCCTCGCTGCATTAGGAGTAGAGCCAGTATTCGGGGCTGTGGCAAGAGAGTATTCACACTCCATATTCTGCTGCTTTTGGTCAGGAACACTAGCGTGTTCGTTTGGCAATCCTTCGAGTGTGTAGACATTTTCCATTCGGTTCGGAGGCTGGGAGTGCATCCCTGTAGTAGCAGCGGATTCGACGGCGGTTGCCGTGGCAAGAGAATATTGTATCACCTTCAATCCGGGCAATCCCAATGGCAACGTAAACGGTAGCATAATCGTCTCCTATTGCCGTGTATGTCGGGAGCGTTCGATTCGGCTGCTGAAGGGACATCTCCACCTCTGTGCGGTCTGCGTGAACCATATTAACATGTCCATGAACAGCTGTGGACCGTAGAGCGATTGAATTGCGCTGAAATAATTTCAATATATTCTCCCTCTTCCGAAGTGTGAGCGCCACCAGCAAAGCAATAAGTATTGTGCGCACTCATATCACAACCATGGGGACGAATCATGTATTCCAGAACGTTTTCTTGTCACAATTATCAATGGAATTCGTGACTAAAGAGAATGATGAAACTACAATAGGATTTATACACTTGCAGTGGAACAGCGAGGATACAAGCATAGTAAGAAAAATAGCACAAACCTAGGAACAATTTGCACAGGTAATAAACTATAGGTGAGGTGAGAAATAATAGGAAATTCAGCAAGTGCAGTGTGACAATGGACATGCATGTGTAAGTGTGTGTGAGTGCGAATTTACTGGAATAGCGTAAGTGCGGTGACATTTTCTTTTTGTTTACAAAGATTTGGATCACGAATGCGAATGTAGACTGCTTCTAGAACTTTCAACTGCTTGAAACTACTTGCAGAACGAACAACACTGAACCAAGAATCATCATAACTTTCACGACACACGGGGTTAGACAACAAATGCAATTTAATTGCCGATGTATTCTTCTTCTTCTCACCGCCTCCGCCTTCACTTGGTTTCTGACCGCCACCGTCCTTCACACCATCTGCACCATCATCGTCATCATCGTCATCGTCCTCTTCATCATCGCTGCCACCTTCACCTGTCGTCGGCTCTCCCAGCAACTGACCACCGGGTTCATCATCGTCACTGCACACGTCGCTTCCACACTCCTCCTCCAGCTGCCGTCGCGTTCTCTTCCTGACCGGTCTTCCCTTGCCATTGCCAAACGCCTGACAGTCGTCAACTCTTCCGCTGGCATCATCCATATCCGGAGAGTTTCGATGCATCTTTCCAGTCACCTCTGCAAACCGAGCTGCCGCCAGCCGTTTGCTCCTTCTCAGCTTTGGTGAGTTGCGGTTGTCTGCGTCCGGCGTTCCGGTACTCGCTGATAATGAAGATAAGACACAGTGTTCGTCTTTGTTTACATTAATGTTTGTTCCCAATTTCTGCGTGCTGTGTTGGTTTTTCCGAGACACCGTTTGTGGAGCAGAAGCCTCTGCCGGAACGGACAGTGGAGTTGGGTGCTTACGTGGTCGGCCACGCTTTGGTCGGGAGGACCTAGCCGCCTGTGACAATATTGAGAGCGGCACGTGTTGTTTGATACGTTCGGACAGATGTTGAAGGGTCCTACCAACATACCGACTACCACATTGTCGGCATTCAAAGTAGTAAATGAGGTGACTCAATTGTAGGGTTGGTAGGACATCCTTCAACATCGTGAACGAACGGATCGTAGTGAACACGGTAACCACATTGGTGGCAAAGTAGGTTTTCTCCACTAGGGATTTCACCACACGGGCCGTGTCCCTCGATTCTGCATGGACACATGCATGTCCATTGTCACACTGCACTTGCTGAATTTCCTATTATTTCTCACCTCACCTATAGTTTATTACCTGTGCAAATTGTTCCTAGGTTTGTGCTATTTTTCTTACTATGCTTGTATCCTCGCTGTTCCACTGCAAGTGTATAAATCCTATTGTAGTTTCATCATTCTCTTTAGTCACGAATTCCATTGATAATTGTGACAAGAAAACGTTCTGGAATACATGATTCGTCCCCATGGTTGTGATATGAGTGCGCATTTAGTTATATTCATTGCATTATTAAGATTATTGTCTCCACGTCGCCTTTTTATAAATAAGTATTGTATTTATATTTTATTATATTTAAGGATTTCCCAAAGGCTTTGGGCTTGTCGAGGGGATCTCCTGCAAGAAGAATGAAATGACAACTTTAGGTAGAGGGAGCAGTTAATCGAGGAAAGGCTACGGAAATAGATCGAGGCATACAAAATCTGGTAATTAAGGAGTTGACACTTATAGTCGACAGAGTCACCAGCACAGTCTTGTAGTTCCGTACTTTTCCTGACGGTGAACTTGGCACTTGCATAATTACGAGATGTGTCGCTGATACTTCCTCATTCTGCTCATCATCTTCAGTCAAATGCCTCGGATCCTTTGTGTGTGGACGCTCTATTCATGTTCAAATTGGTAATCAAGTTTCATCCGTTGGGGGCAGGAGTGCCGCAGGGTTCTCATCTAGGCCCACTCCTATTTAACATACTGATGGACAGTATCCAAACAGTGACTACCAACACCTTGAGCCTTTTTGCGGATGACTCCAACATTCTGTGCATTTCCCCACCGACTATCACAATTACGGCTCACTTGTGTCAGATTGAGACTGATCTAGCAGCGTGTATCTCTTGGGCTGAATATTCTGGATCAAGTTTTAACGTAAGTAAGTGCGCCCATATTATATTCCACTGATGCAGGACCACGGCAGCAGAGCGAACTGTTCAGATGAATGAAGCTAGCCTATGTCGACCTGAGGCTCATCGCCATCTTGGAGGCATATTAACCCCCTCCCTAGATTTCCGTGCGCACATTCGTTCCATTATCTCTAAATTTCGTAGCAGAGTGTTCTTGCTTAGTCGTATGGCTCTTTTCTTTCCTCCATTGATCATTTCTACCTTGCATAAGTCATACGTTCGCCCTACCCTAGAGTACTCTATCCCCGTCTGGTTTTCCTCTCTGACGGTCCAAGACCAGGATAGTATGAGTAGGCTCCAAGCATCTGCAGTCAAAGGATATCTTGCCGCGAAATTAGGGAGGAAGCCAGATTGGATGACTTCAAAAGAAAATCTTAACCAGCGTGCAGGCTGCGAAGCTATACAATGGCGATTACAGATCCTTTCATTATGCTATTTTCACCACATTGTCTACACCTTTCCTTCTGTTCTCTTTGAGTTCAAATTTCGATTTTCATCATCCTCCCGACACCCCAAGTCTCTTGTCCTTCCACCAACTGGCAATTACTTCGCTAAATCCTTCCTTTTCCTTATCGCTGTTGCTTGGAATAAACTTCCTGCTGATATACGTTCACTCGATAGTCCCACGCTATTTAATCGCCAGGTAAGGAAGCTGGATCAAGTTTACCGCTTCTCAGTTTCCGGCATACCTAGTTTCACGTGTTGAACAATAATAGTCTAAATCCGCTACTGCAGTTATTTTGTTTTAGTGCCTTTCCAGTGTTCTATTAGCACCCCTGGTTCTCAATCTATTGTTCTTCCTCTCCTGTGACTTAAAAAATCTCAGATGTTGAGTTTTTTGCACTCCATGCATAATTTTATTTTCAATATTTTAATGGTTTGGTGAGACTCCCATGATAGGTATCCATTTACCTCTGGAGAATCCGTAAATAAACAAAACAAACAAACAAAACAAACAATACTTCATCTCCCTCACACAAAAATCACAGAGTCACGTGTACCACATTGACGTACACGTGTGTTCTGTGTGTGCCCCACGCATGTGCATGTGATGTCATGTGTGGATTGGGTTTTGGCTCCTTGCTGGCGTTTCAGGCTTCCGTTACTCGGTCTGTTCTTACGCTTCTGGCGACTCGTGTCTTTTGCTATTGTTCTTTTCTGTTCTTACTACTCCTTGCTTTTACTGGTACTCTAAGTGCAATTCACACGGCTGTAGCATTGTTGGTATCACTCTAAGTGCTATTCACACGGCTGTAGCATTGTTGGTATCACTCTAAGTGCCATTCACACGGCTGTAGCATTGTTGCTATTACTCTAAGTGCCATTCACATGGCTGAAGCATTGTTGGTTATAGCTAAGACTGGTCATGTAACACAGACCACCACGCATCATCATTATAACCAAGAGTAGATAAACAAGAGTGTGCAACTCCGGATCTCTTCTGCACAATCTGCAGATACCCCCGCCCACGGCGGAATTTTTTGTTGACGTCACCTTTTTTCAGGGAAACGTGGACTTTGCCGCAGAGCAGTGTGAGAGCACGTGCTGGGCACCGACCTTGTAGTGCAAAGCCCCGCCAAGTGCACGAGGGAAACCTCTCCGAAAGGCTCGCAGCGCGTGCGTCGTCGAAAAGATTACGTCAACAAAAAATTCCGCCGTGGGCCAACCCATCCGCGAGTTGCACACTCTTGTTTATCTACTCTTGTTATAACTCAGTGTTTCATGGACATACTCCATACTCCATAGGCAATCATCAGACAACTATCAATACTCCATAGGTAATCATCAGACAACTATCAATACTCCATCTCTTCAGACCAAGCAAGGGTGAGCAGCAACATTTTAAACGTTTTGAAACATTTCCAAAATATACTTGTAGATATTAAAACAAAACACCAACACCACAAAACATGATTGAAAGAAAACAGCACCTCAGACATTCTGCACATTCTTCACAGTATCCAAAAGTGACAGAAAAAAACTCTGTGATGATGTATTGCGACACTTTGTAGCTAGACATTTGGCTGAAATGCAATAGATTTTCAGAGAAAGGAAAAAGAGCACACAGCTAACACAATCAATAGAATCATCCTCTGCACAGCGAGAATATGTAACAATGAAAGCGATCGAAGTACAATGTAGATAAACAACTCAGTTCAGGAGTTTATAAGCAAATGCACACATGCACACACACATACACAAACTCACACACACACATACCCCCACACACATGCATAGTCACACATACAGACACAAGCGCATGCACACACACACACACACACACACACACACACACACACACACACACACACACACACACACACACACACACACACACACATACACGCATAATGCAAGCACACATTGAAGCATGCAAGTATGATGAACAGAGATTGGAAATGCTCATATGTTCACCATCTTGATCAGGCATGTTGGAACTGCTCCAGTCGGTCAGGACTTGGCTGGATCTACTGTTCGCCTGCCATGTTTACTACTGGCAAGGTCATGCATATTCAATGTGTCACGCAAAAATCTGAAATACTATAGGGAAGCCAGACCAATCAAACCTGCTAATACTGGTCCTGTTCATGTTTTACAGCAGTGAGAAACATTAGTGTAGAAACAAGATGCTCCCTGACAAAAGTTAGAACATGGTGACACAGTGGCTTCCCCAGTCACTGACATACACAGTACCACTGGGTGATACTGCAATGCCGAACAGACAATTAAAACAGGTGCTTGAACCGAAGGTAGCCACGTGCCAGAATGTGTCAGAAGTGAACACCTAACAGGGTATGACAATGGAAACACACACACATACCGGCACACACACATACCAGCACACACACAACAACACACACACATTCACTCACCACATGCATTTACACACAAACACCCACCACATACATACACAGTCATATACTTCTGAAGTACACATCCATTACGATAGAATAATTGTAATATGCCCATCCACTGTTGCGTCTCGGTGCAGCGCCTGCTCATTATTTGTCACGTTTGTCCTAGTCTCCGTACCATTGTCTTTCCTTATTCTTTTCGAGCTGGTTATGTGAACGTAGTAAAAAAATAAAATAAATAAATAATCCAGAGGTGATAGAAGGTCCCGAAGGGACCAACAGTGTTCAAGTCATGAGCAGAATCGGGTGTGGCACACAAGAACGCGAACGCGCGCCAACCCCCCCCCCCCCTCCACACACACATACACACATAAAAACACACACCATGCACCCACATGCACTCATGTACACTCACACACATATCGTATTTTCTGGAGTATAAGTCACACTGGGGTATAAGCAGCAACCCCAATTGTTTCCCACGAAATGCAGACATCAACCCTATTAAATCCCGCAGCTATGCAGAAGGCGTTACTTCAGTAACGTCTGGCGCTAGCAAGGGTCCACACAGCTTTAATTTGGTGTTTATTTATTTGTTTTTATGTTTCTGCCATCGGCATGCCTGGCACTATCCCGTACCTGTCCTGTACCATCAAGAGTACCGTACCATCAAGAGAATGAGTATGTATGCGTCTTTGTGGTCCACTTTCACAACAATAACACACACACACAGAAGTCTCTGCTGTGAGCACGGTGGCTCGGCATTGGCTTTATTATTGATACTATTACAATTATCTCCTTCCTGATTTTTTTTCTTGAATAATTGTATGTATAGGGCCTGATAAGAAAAAATAAGCACAAGACACTGCTGATACTGTAGTCGCACAGCAAAACACACAGAAAACGACATGTTACAATGGATGTAACAACACCCGTCCAAGCTAAAGGACCGACATCCCTGCCCCAGGACGGCATCTCGAAACCCCCACACACTCACCACACGGTCATCATCCAGCTTCAGTTCAATCACTGTATTCTTCCCCTGCAGACTCAACCCCCCTGTCACTAGCCATACAATCTGAAGCTGTATGTAACCATACAACGGCCCACGACGCACACACCACCCCTACGTTATTTAACTAAATGTTGAGTCACAGAAGGAGTCACCATCCCAGACACAAAAGAACAACTGGGGACAGGTACTAGTAGTGGGAAGACATTTATCATAGACGGAGAGACGGAGAGAAAGAGGAACTAAACGACTACATTATAAAAGAGAGAGATATTTTGAAGAAAGTTGAGAGAGAGAGAGAGATCTGAAGAGAGTTGACGCAATAGATAGGGCCTGGGTAGCTATGGCAAACATGGGTGCGCAAGTAGCTACCCAGGCCAACGGAACGAAAGGTGAGAATGACGTAGGTGAGAATGACGTAGCACGGGCGGAGGTACCTAACATACCCCTCCTCCATGAAAAAATCCCGCGTCCTCGCAGAGAGAAAAAAAAGAGAGAAAAAGATTAAAAAAAATGACTGAAGGAGAAAAAAACACACACACACACACACATAATGCACGCGCGTACAGATCTCACAAAAGTGTGTACTAAAAATGCACTTCATTACAACGTTCCTGTACTACTTATAGTGTGCAATAACTATTGGAGTTTTACGAGGAACGTGAATTACTAGTATTTTGACCGGCTAATACAGCCTAGTTACACTTTTTCTAAACATCCAAAAATTAGAGCGTGGCTCACCATGATAGGACCCCTAACTTGGTAATGTTTTATGAACACACGCGCGCACACACACTACAAAAAAATTCACGAAACAAATAAACCGAAAATAAATTTGACGAAGAAGGAACGCATACAAAAAAAAGAAAGAGAGAAAGGTAGCTGACCTGCATGACGAGACGAGGTGGACATAGATGAGACGAGGTTGACAGTGACGAGAGGAGGTTGGCGTAGGAGAGACGAGGTTGACATGGACGAGACGAGGTTGGCGTAGGAGAGACGAGGTTGACATGGATGAGACGAAGTTGGCGTAGGACAGACGAGGTTGATATGGACGAGACGAATTATGCGGCCAGATGGTAGAGCACGAGAATCCCAGGGTCGCGGGCTTCGGCAAAAGCCGGGCGCCAATGTTGAGTCACAGAAGGAGTCACCATCCCAGACACAAATGAACAACTGGGGACAGGTACTAGTAGTGGGAAGAAATTTATCATAGACGGAGAGACAGAGAGAAAGAGGAACTAAACGACTACCGTATTTCCTCGATTAATAGATCCGATCTTTTGTTTTTTGAAGAGGGTTGGACCCCTGGTCTCTTATTTGGGCATGGTCCATTATTTGAGCACGGTCCACTATATTTTCATCGGCACAAAAATCCACCATTTCCAGCGATGTGCCGATGAAAATATAGTGGACCGTGCTCAAATGATGAAAGAAAGCACTAGCCACTACAAAAATTGTGCAACCTAAAATCGCGTCCTTTTTGGATCCACCACATGCTTTCTTAGTGCGCATGCGCAAGGCGATGAACTCAAATAAGAGACCGGGTCTCTTATTCGGGCATGGTCTACTATATTTTCCGTGAGGACTCTAGGAGGGTCTACTATTTGAGCATGGTCTATTATTCGAGGAAATACGGTACATTATGAAAGAGGGAGATATTTTGAAGAGAGTTGAGAGAGAGATCTGAAGAGAGTTGACGCAATATAACCACCCATGTTTGCCATAGCTACCCAGGCCCTATATTATACACCCATGTTTGCCATAGCTACCCAGGCCCTATTTTATAGGGCCTGGGTAGCTATGGCAAACATGGGTGCGCAAGTAGCTACCCAGGCGAACGGAACGAAAGGTGAGAATGACGTAGGTGAGAATGACGTAGCACGGGCGGAGGTACCTAACATAAAAAGAAAAGCAGTCGTAACTGCAACAGCCACATGGCCAATAAGAAAACCAATAAGATATATCGATAAACACCCACCCAGAAGTCAGGGATGGGAGGGTGGGATACAAACTGCACCATCGAAAAGCCACTGCGAAGTGACAGGAATGCGGTCCAGCACAACATTTTTGCTGAAGCAAAAAGTTGTGGAGAAATCCCAAAGTCGGTGCAATTTCGCATGAGTCGAAATGTTCAAGTTACCCACAAAGACACAAGCTTTCCAACTCTCTTTGGCCGTTGGAAAGCGTACCTAAGTGTATCGGGGGAATGCATGCAGGCCGATAGTGCAGTACATCAAGTATTCAAGAGTTGCCAAGTGTAGACACGATACTGGTCAAGGGAGCTAAGACAGAGATCCTTGTCGTCAAGTCTGTCGAACCAGGCCTCAGTCAAACTGGCTGTTTACGAGTGTCCAGATAGCGCGCCGCGTGTCAAGCGTCGCATCCTGAGAGAAATCTGCATGCACCGGTATGCTGTGAAGTATGGCTGCCCTTTCATATCCAGGGTTCTACCGCATCTGATCTGTCTCGATAAGCGGTACGGCTTGGAATGTGACAACACGACAACGCCCGAAAACGATGCCTGAACGGAACGAAATGGAAACGCACTTCAAAGTGTTTTGAAACGTTTTCGTTTGCGTGTAAACATTGAAAACGATTGGAAACAGAGCGCGGATATGGAAACCATTCCGCGGAAGACTATATTTCGCGGGAAATACCCAACCCTTGTGACCACCAGCACTCACCAACTCCAACTAACATGTTACATCCCGCCCTTGCGCCAAACCAGCACGTGATAACTCCACTCTCCAGGTCGCTGATCGCCCTTTTTTCGTTTTCGTGTAAACGGTTCAAAACAAGTTGCCGTTCTCGTATAAACGGTTTGAAAATGATTCGAGGGCAGCCCGTTTTCGTTCCGTTTCGTTTCATTTCGTCTCCATGTAAACGCAGCCTCTCTCTAAACGCAGCCTCTCAGGCTGCGTTTACGAGTATGTATGCTAAGTGTATCGGGGGAATGCATGCAGCTCAGGGCGATAGTGCGGGTTCGAATCCTAGGTCTTGAAAAAATAGGAGAAATTAAAAAAATTATAACATCCCTATGCTTTTTTGCCTAGGTCATCAATTTGGTAGACGGTGTCGTGTTACCCTCGAATGCAAAGAGAATGTTTACTTCTTTCGCTCAGGGCCCTACGCTATGTTTTTTGCCTAGCTCATCATGAATGTTGTTCGAACAGATGGAAACTGTTTGCAATACAATGATGTAGCCGATCAGTTCGTTGTGGCATGTTTGGGAATTGTAGCCATTATTATTTTTCTGGTTTTAGAGTTCGTATCGGAGCAGCCGTTCTGTAATTCAAAGCAAGCCGTCATGGTCGACGTAAAACCCTATTTACATACACAAGCTCGAAGAGCAAAAGTCTCTCTGTCCCATAAGCTGCCACATACCAAGTAAATACAAACCCATGCACTTTACATGAGCTAACTGTTACTTGTACGTGTTGCCCTTTTCACGAACCCAGACAAAGGGATTGGTCTATTAATATAACCAAGAGTACTCTTGTCATAACGCATGTACGAAGTCACTAGATTACACCCGCACCAGAGATAAAGGCGACAGCGCCAGACATCAATACGGTGTAGTACGGTATATGGATGTCCTATAGCATGTCGTACAACAGTACGATGGAATTGTGGGAGAAACCAACGACCACTTAAGCGCTTGTGAATGATGAACATTGCAACAGTCTTATTGTGAGTGATAGTCAGGCCAAGTTTCCGAAGATCAGTGGCGAGTGCTATCCCGAGGATTATGTTAGCATTTCGAAAGCATAGACAGGATGCGTATTACAGGAGACCCAAGTTGCTGAAGACCATGGGACATCAAGTCCTCATACATTGAGTCTATCAACCTCTGCGCTGCCCGGTTCCACCGGGCCAGAGTCTCCTTTGAGAGCCGGCTCCGCAACAAGCTCATGT